TTTTCATTCGATTTTAATAGTAAATTGATACAAGCATATGCCTAGGAGTCAAACCCGTCATCAGCTGATTTCAAGACAATTCTTCAAAATAGACCTTGCCAGCCGTAGTTACTCTTGCTACCATTCAAGCTGCATTCCAACTATCTTCGCCTCTCATAAGGGGCAGATAGAAAGGGTTCTTCGTTTTTCACAAAACATACAAAAGAAATTTGATGCCTACAAAAAGAATTTTGCGTGAAATAGTTCCTAGCTGAAAATCCGGGAAAAAAGTTGTACTAAAGCATACAATCTTCTCTATTAGAAAATGTTAGAATATGCGATAATGAAACAACAGCTGATCAAAGTATCCAAATGTGTTAAGCAAATGCCGAGCAAAGAATGCTCGCAGTGTGAAGGTCATGGAATACCAATGAAACATGTAGGCAGTGTTTTTTTACAAAAGCAACCAGAATTGATCAATTATATCACAGTATGAAAGCAATTAATCAGTACGGCATGCGACGATATGTGAAAGTTCATACCACATGTAGGTTACAATCTCATTTACCGGTGAAAACGAAAATACCTCTCTAACACGATTAAACAAAATTTTAGCAAAGTGAACTAATAAACAAAAAACACAAAATTTGGATTTTCTCGTACGGAGAAGACGAAAGCCTTGAGGAAGATGACAAAGGTAATTAGCAATAAAGAAGCTTTGGAAAAAAAGGGAAATGGAAATCATGGCTCTAAAATCCAATGAATTGGCTGCAAACAAAAAACATTTATTTAAACAAATGTGACATATATGTATATCATATACAAAGTTTAAAAATATTAGAACGCAAGATATACTTGTATTTATGATTAAATGGTAATTGAACACGGAATTTGAATTCTGCACACGTCTTCTATGATAATTTGCGATATATCTTAAACTGTAGGCTCAAATAATTCAAGAAAATTTTTAACAGAATAACTAACGAATATTTCTATTCAAATGTATATTCCGAGGTTTGAGCGAACACTCCCAGCGTCTATTATGTGAACGTTTCATATTCCGCAGCTTTCAATCACATATAAATGACGTTCACTGTTCAATTAAATTATATATTATGTAATTCTTGTGTTTAACTAAAACAAGATTTGGCATAATTGAACCAGGTAAATTAGAGCATTCCAATAACATCACTAATACGGGACGCCCACAGTGATAGTCCAGGAAGTTCTGATATTCAAAGCGTAGTGAGCTGAAACAAAATAGGAGTTGTAATTCAGTATTATTAAATGGTAAAGGCGTTTCAGTTCGTGAACAATGCCAATAAATCATTTCCCAGATGATTATGCATTCAGCAGCAAACAATTGAGTGCTTAGAAACACTCGTAACGTCAAACTTTATCTCCGCGTTTTCAGACTTCGTCCAGGCTTGCGGGTAAATTTTGCTTCCTTTTGGGCAAATGTACCCACGTTTGTCCATTTGGTCCGATTCAAACATCGCTGCAACGGCATCATCTATTGAGCAACCAGTGCAAGCCAAGGAGGGGACAAGAAGTAAAAGGAAACGTGAAACACCAACAAACCGAGTCGCAGATGAGCTGGAACACCAGGAAGAACATCAAGTCAGCCAAGTACTCAACAACTATTTCCATTTTCCTGCTCCAGCTGGTACCGTTTGGTTCCAGCAAGGTTTGCTTTTCTTCTAAAGTTTTAGCCTACTTTGCTTACAAGCACCGCCAAGCAATCGGATTCTTTCGTATATACCACATTTTAGCCCACTCTTCTAAGATATAACAGAAAATGCAATGAGTTGGTGCTGAATTACGATCAGAGAAACGCAATCCTTAGTTTACAACTGCAACAGCTGAGCAAAACAAAAAAGAGGCTGCTTAATAAAATCGAATATGGTAAAATTATGTCAGAAAACCGGGCGCAAAAATGCCAAATTTAACGCTAAAATAACAAATCGAATTGTATCGTTTCATTGTCGTGTTTCTTCTTGCCGATGGTGCAGCTGACAAATTCATTGTTCTCAGTTTTGTTCTCTCATTCGCGTGATTCCATGCAGCCGTTCAAGCGAATTCTCATATCACATCGGCGATCTTTTTTGTATTCTTTTAATATTGCGTGGGCATCATTCGATAATTTGGGTTTGTTCAAGAAAAAACGAAGTGAATGAATCAATCTTTTTTATTATAGAGATTTAGAACCACTGCACCACCATATCCCTATATTCTGTTTTGCAGGTCATTCTTTAATTTGTTTGTTGTCTATCAAGTTGATACTAATGATTTATCGTACTTGCAATAAAAACTTCCCATTTCATCAGTGGAGACATGAGGAAACATTGGCGGGGGAAGAGGATGGGGTGGTATAGGAAGTGAAAATGGAGGGGGAAGATGAAAGAACCGGGTGGCGGCTTTTCTTGATTGATGTTTCATTTTTTTTTTTCATAGGGAGAAGAGGTAGAGAACGGATCTCTGATCATAATTTTTATTTATTTTGTTTTTTTTTTTTAAAGCGCAACATGAGTTTAAGGTCGTATGAGCGGAGGTCAACACATTGCTCAGATTTTTGTATTAGCCACTTCTAAACCGAAAATTCTTTACCTAACTTAGCGTAGGTAATTTGACCAGCCGCAATTAGTAGCGATTCGTCTCCAACTATTCTTAGGATGACTACTTTTCCAGTGCTTTGACCAACGGTACATCACCTCATGGTCACCATGCTAGCGGAACTGACGTTAGTTTGGGTCCCAGAAATGTCATTTACAGTTGGTTGCCATTTCAAATATGTTTTTATGTGCAATAATTCTCCTAAGGCTTACTCCGAAAGCATAACATGGAAATCGCAATTTTCCCTTCTCCCTTACCCTCTCCTCCTCCCCTCGTCTCCTCAATGCAAAATTCCGGGATGAAACACCAAGGAAATTTTAACCCTTTATTTGCAACATGTGAATGGTAAATATTTGAATGAATTGTGAGTGGCAGCAGTTCGAAGTAAAATTAATGTAGCATGCAGTGTCAAATCTCATCACTACCTCCTCTTCTTGTTGCTTTGCCTGCCATTTTCGGTCCTTTCTCCCTCGCACCCCCTTCTAGGCCCAACCCTGTTCATGAATGCCTTCATGTGTATTCATTCATTTCATTTTTATGCGTTTTTGCATAATATGCAAAAGCACATACGGTGACGACCCCGGTGTGCGTGTGTGTGTGTGTACGTGTGTGTACATGTGTGTGTGTCTGTCTGTCTAGGATTTCAACTCGGCACCCAAGCAAGTTCCGGCTCCAAAATTTTGGGAGTGGGTTCCCCGGCCAAGTGCCACCGCAGGATCGCGGTACCAACCCTCAAGCACGTCTAGGCCCCGCGTACGAGCGCCTCAAAGTTTTGGCGGGAAAACCGCTAACTCAAGAACCAGAAAAGCTAGAAAGCTAAAATTTTGGGATTATGTTTCCAGTCCAGCTAGAGCTCAAAGATTTCAAATTCAACCCCCGGGAGTTCGTGGTTCCCACGTACGCTGAGGGTTCCTGGCGCGAAAATCGCTAGCTCGGGGACCAAGAAAGCTGGGAGGCTGAAACTTTCAAGAAATGTTTCCAACTCATTAGTAACTTCAATTTATCAAAATCAGCCCCCCGTTGTGCGTAGTTGCCACGTACGGCCCCGTGAAAATTTTTTGGCGGGAAAATGGCTAAGTCTGGAACCAGGAAAGCTGGGGGCTGAAACTTTCAGAAAATATTCCCAACTCATCTACAACTTCAGTTTATCAAATTCAGCCCCTCCACTGTGCGTGGCTGCCACATACGGCCCCGTGAAAACTTTTGGCGGAAAAATGGCTAACCCCGCAACCAGGAAAGCTGGGAGGCTGAAACTTTCAGGAAATGTTCTCAACTCATTTATAACTTAAATTTATCAAATTCAGCTCCCTGTTATACGTGGTTGCCGCGTACGGCCCCGTGGAAATTTTTGGCGCTTACGGATAACTGAACCAGTGAAGCTGGGGGACTGAAATTTTCAGGGAATGTTCCTAGCTCATCTAC